TTCTCGCAAAAAATGTCCGTCTTATCCAAATGTCAAAAATCCAAACATTCTTATTTTATGAAATAAATTAATTAACATATTCATTTTTAAATTGCCTCACACATCAATGAATTTCAAATTAATATAAGTTCACATATTTTGTTCATAAATTTGTTTTTCATTTCAAAATGTTTTAATTTTTATCCATTCCCTATATAAGTATGCAACACAGCTGTGATATTTTTAACGCAGTACCATATTTAAAATGTCATTATTTTATAACCAAATAAATATAACTAAGTATTAATCAGTAATTTAATGCAAGACTACACAGTTGGTCCTGTGGCTGGTGCTGCACAATATTTTGTGGATCACACACAAAATATTGTTTTCCCTGATCTGAGTGGGATGTTTATTAGAGTTGTTGCATATTTGTCCCAGTCCACAACCACTAGAGAGAGTACTAGGCTACTAGATATATTCCTTAAAAAGAAACAATGATCAAAATTGATTATAAAATACACATTTATCTATTTCTGGTTTGCCTTCAAATATTACTGTTTTATCTCATTTATAATTACAATGCAACTGCCGGTAATGAAATAAATTAACAATAGTGTTATTATATACTCACAGTCGTATAAATAAGATTTGATTCCGGTTGTTATAAAAATAGTAATTACGGAAATAGTTGTACAAGGTACATACATGACGAACGCCTGTTTATTGTGCCTAGTACAGTAGATGCCTTAAGAAAATACAATCGCAATAATTTATACATAAAATAAAACTGTAGAAGTGTAAATTCTGTACGTTTAAAATAAATACTAGATAAACACCGAACCCAAAATTGTGAATAATTTTTTTTTTATCTATCTGTCTGTCTATATGTTCACGCATCACGTAAAAACTACCGGTCCGATTACGATGAAACTTGATATGATTAAACTTTTTAATCCTGGGCACAATACTGGGTACTTTATATCAAACACACTTAATTATGCGGCTTAATCGCTTGACGCAAATATAAGTTTGTCGAATCGAACGTAAGTGTGGGAGAGCCATGCTTCGGCACGAATGGGCCAGCTCGACCGGAGTGATACCACGGCCTCACAGAAAACAGACGTGAAACAACGCTTGCGTTGTGTTTCGTCGTGTGAGTGAGGTTACCGGAGGCCTAATTACCCCCTTCCCCAGTCTCCCCAATCCCCGAATCCCCCCAATCCTCAAATTCCTAATTCCCAAAAGGCCCATAACGCACTTGTAACGCCTCTGGTTTTTCGGTTGTCCATGGGCGACGCCGATTGCTTACCATCAGGTGATCCGTCTGCCCGTTTACCGGCTTATCCAATGATATTATAAATAATAAAAAGAGGTAGATATCGCACTGGCACGCAAAAATTCAGACAATTGTCGTAATTTTATAATAGCTATCTCTTTCTGTACCATACTTTCCGTATCATCTGTCGCACGTAGGTGAAAATGACATTTAAGTACATTTCTAATAAGAACGCAACAATTTTTGGACGCCGCTTAGTATGAACGTAGCGTATCTTCTTTATAATATCATTGGGCTTATCCCATAAAAAAATGTTAGGGCCGATGGTTGAAATTAGCTCGAAACGAATATGAAAACATGTATGTTTGTCACATCAAAACAGCTAAAGGGACCGGGATGAAATTTGGAACAGAGATAGAATATGGTCTGGATTAACACATAGGCTACTTTTTACCTGGGAACGCGGGCAAAGCCGCTAGCAGTAGCTTGTTATAAATAATTAAATACATACTAACGTAGAACAATAAACTTCTTTGATGAAACATTGCAGCTCAATTCTGTACAATATCGGTCCTAATCAAAACCAGGATCCGTTATTATCTACGTGTATAACATGAAGTCTTTCTAATGCTACAAAAATTCCGATTTAAATGTCTCCTGTACTGCCGAAAGCATAATAATATAATCCTAAATAATACAGCAAAATTAAATCTAACATTTATTTAACTATCCTTACTATAATATTATAAATCGGAAAGCGAGTTTGTTTGTTTGTTTGTTTGTTTGTTCCGACTTCACGCCGTAACTACTAAACCGATTGCATTGAATTTTTGCAGACGTAAAGTTAGTAGTCTGGATTAAATAATAGGGTACTTTTTATTCCGAAAAATTTGATATTCCCGAGGGAAAACAAAAGTATTGGTATAGATGGCGCCGTATGTATTGGTATATGTCACATAGGCTACTTTTTATCCTTTTGTGACGCGACCGAAGCCGCGAGTAAAAGCTAGTATTGAATAATATTAATGCTGTTCGATGCTGATCGCTTACCATCAGGTCATCGTCTGATCGTTTGCCCCTATTAAAGAAAAAAATATTTTTATAGTCATTTCGTGGCAAGTCTGTGTCCTATCTGTTTTTTATCTGAGTGCATTAAATTGCAAGGAATCTAGTCGGGCTGGTCTGGAGGAATCAAGGCGAACATCGAGCACACTGGTCTCATTCCATAAACTTAGTGGTCTTAAGGCGGATGTCTCTACTTTGTATATTGTTCAACAAGAATATAAATACTAATCTAAGAAATGCTAGGAAAACCGGCACATCAGCCTACATTGTACTGTTTCATTTCTTGTATACATTTTCAAATCCATTCCCTTATCAAACGTCATCTAATCACAAAATCCCGTTTGTTTTATTGCAGATTCGCCTGGAATAGTGGCATTTGATTCTAAATTTCTACTTTGACCGGTAAATACTATTGCAAGGAAAGGAGTATTGCGGATATGAACCGCATTACACTGCTAACCAACCTAAACTCGTCGAAACTCGTCGAAAAGGTACTGGGTCGTAAGAGCACAAAAAAATTGTAATGTAATTTTTTTCATGCAAATTCATTATTTATTTTATTATGTTTTCGGCTTACTCACGTAATAATTTGACGAGGAACTCGACTAGTTTCAAGCCATGCTAGAGGTTCATATTCATGAACAGCATTTCGCGACCCGCGACGCGGCGACTGTGACAGTAGTATATGAGCCTCTAGCATGGCTTGAAACTAGCCAAGTTCCTCGTCAAATTATTACGTGAGTAAGCCGAAAACATAATAATTTATTTAGTACGTCTCACGAAAGTTACAATTCATTAGTTATTTGTTTAACAACTTTGGAAAACTAACAGCTAACGAAACAAAAACAAAAAGAAATTGCGAGTGTCCATTAAGAACAATACGAGTATTAACCCGTGGTATGCCGGAACGTAGATCTACGCGAGACACAGTGTATAATCTATTGTGTCTCATATAACGGCACTAAAGGGGTTAATACTAATAAAAAAGCTGTCAATGTGTAGCATGCAAATATTTTTTATGAGATAGGGGATCACTTGATGGTATATGATCAGCGCTATCCATAGACACCGCGAGGGCGTGGTATCAGTCAAGCCGGCCCATTCAAATGTGATATTCACTTATCAACAACATCAACAGCCTATAACTGGTCACTGCTGACCAAAGACCTCTTCTTACACGGAGAAGGTTTGAGCATTAATCACCACGCTTGCTCAGTGCGGGTTGGCAATTTCAAACTTGTAATTAGAAATTATAAGCTTAGGTTTTCTCATGATGTTTTCCTTCACCGTTGGTCGGTGTCTAAATAATCTTAGAAAGTACATATAACTCGGAAAACGTCACTTTGATACTTGCCGTTGGTAGGACTCTTAGGACCACCACAATTCACTTATCAACTGTCACCTTAACAACACCAGTTAATATAAGGTTCTTAACTTCTTTTCTACAAACAAACCAGTTGATATTTATCAATGTCTTGCTGACGCAGGTTGCTGTATTTAACGCAATGGGAGCTATTTATATCTGATTGCTAATTAAGTTATTAATTATAACTTAAATGGTTGCAGAGCCAGGTAGAAAATATGTGCATCTTTACCTACCTCTTCGGGTAAATAAAGTATTTAAAGATGGTAAAGATGGAGGCTTATAAAATATAGCCCTTTTATTATATTCCAGTAGACTACTCGTTAAAAGTAGCTTAGTAATAAATCACACTAATCATTCTGATATAAATAAATAAGTAATGATAGTGGATAGGTTCTTTAAGCTTCGTTAATATGAGTTTTAATTGCCTCCAGACTCCAGCCTCTCACATATTTCTGCGTCTAAATTCACCCAGCCAGTGGCTCTAGGAGTTCGGTATACAGCTGTAAATTTGACTTATAACCGTCAAATATTAAATTTAATGTGTAGGTACCTATAGGCCGCGAGATCGTCTGGCACGGGCCTGAGGTCCGACCAGAACCAGGCCCGACCGCACGGCGCGTCGCGTTCCGCGCGCGCCTCAAGGAGCCTTCAGACCACCACAGATGGGGCCTAACAGGGCTGATGCCGATACGGAGCCGCGGAAGACTTAACGGGTTGCCGGGGCTCCGGCTCGAAGTGCAGGAGTAGGAACGGGGTGGTTTTTAGCCAGTAAGAGTCTGACACTCCCTCCCGCCTCACCCGGACGAGAGCATTCATTAAATGATTTTCGCTCCTCAAAAAAAAGGTACCTATAGGCCCCGAATATAAGAAAACACTTGAAGGTACTTGTCTAAATAGTAAACAATTTTAATTAATTTCATGGGAACTTCACTAATAATGGACCGAATATAACTTGTTTTTAATTATTTTGCTCATCAAAGTACCTAAACCTACGCATTATCGTCTTCCTGAATACAAAACCAGTTATTAACATAAAAATATTATAATAAGGTTAACATTTTATGTGTAAAACACCTTTATATAGGTAAAGAAGGCTTGACTTCTTGAATTAAATAAAAGTAAAAATAGAACAACACTGTCACAGGTATACTAGGACTTTCTCCCGTTTCATGGGTGGGTTGGCAAACATACAAATTAACAAACACAACTCACTATTTTTAGGGATCATACAAAGATAGTCCCGTGCAAGTATCGAACCCGCCGCGACACATAATGTAGCAGCTTTTATAAACGTGTACATTTGTATTACTCCTAAACAACTTGTATTGGTTTCACACCGATCCTCTTAGCCATGGTCTCCATAGCCTCTAACTGCCTCTGAGGATAGTTCACAGTTCCCTTGGCTAGAGTCGCCTCACCAATGTGGTGCTCTTTGTCGCCTGGAGCCAAAACTGGGAGGGCAGGATCAACCTGGAATAGAAAACAGATGGAAAATGTCTGTAGTGAACTATTTATACGGATTGATGAAGTGATATTATCATTTCATCGGCATCCACTAGCTACATACCGGTTCCAGGTTCCTCCAGGTGTTAAGACAGTCAGCAGCTCTGTCCCCGAAGCCTGGAGCGAAGCATTCAGGATTGATGGCAGCAAAACATTGGCCTAAATCTGGTGGCCCTTGGTTGCTGTCCAACTCCCAGCCACGAATGTTGTGAGTCGAATTTGACCCTGTAATTGTTAAGTAAATGGTCTTATTCTATACATATATGACTCCGAGATTTGTGGTGCTTTATGCCTCGAAGGTCTAGGTGCATTGGCTGGGGAGGAACATGAGAAGAATACCTATCTATACTGACATTATCATCGTCATCTATATATATAAAAAGTAATCCCTTTTTCCGTTGGTCACGGCATCACGCGACTGGACCGATTTCATTAATTATTTTCGTTGTATTTATTATTATTATTAGTAAAAGGTTCTTAAGACAGAAAAAATCCAGAAATTCCTACGGGAATGGGAGAAAACAGGATTGCGCGTAAGAAGTCGCGGGCAGAAACTAACTAGTATCAGACAAAAACGTCCACTGCTAAACATTTCAGAGGTTCGACAAACACATACAGCCGTCAGAAATCTGTTCTAAGAATATATTGAAAATGACAAATATACATTTAATACTTTTCACAATGTTACCTGATAATCCACTGCAGAAGAGTTCTACCATGGCGCTGAGGGCATAACCCTTGTATCCGCTGGTCTTCTCCTCCCCACCCAGCGGCATCAGACGACCAGCTTGGAACGCCTGATGAAAGACGATTTGCTGTTAGTAGTCTGTGAGAGTGTAGAGTGGGAGAGGATCTTCATATTTTACCGAGGGGTTTATTTTGTTATTACCAAAAAGAAGTAGGTAATTCTCAATGATGGATATTCCTTGTGACAATAACAATCTAAACATAATCTTTATTATAGTAAATTCCATTGTGGATCGAAACGAATCCAAGACGACATGCTTAGAACTCTCATTTACTATTAAAATATCAGAGCAATATGCCCTAGTACGGCTGCTATTAAATATATTTAAGGCGCTATGTAACTTACAGCCTTGGCGTCCGTAGTTGGCTTGCCATCAGGTCCCAATGCCCAACCAGCGGGCAAAGGCTCTTCTTTATGAATTTGTACTTCAATCTGAAAAATGAACAATAATATAAGACAATTATTAGATTAATTTAACTGAAATATATGCTCTAAGTATACTGACTCAATAGGAATCTTACAATCAATAGAAGAGTGATCTAGAAGATATGTTGAAGGGTAATTTATTTGGTGGAATGATTTAATTACATTCTCTAAGTATAAGATAATAATTATATTTAAATACTCAACATTTAGGGGCGTAGCTAGCACCGTATCTGCCGTACAAATTATACGGCAACGTGCGCAAGCAAAAATTAAATAAAACTTAAGTACCTTTTCTTTATTTATTTCAGAAATCACAAATGCCAAAATAAATAATTATTTACATGCGTAAAGCATTCTAAGATTGCCAGAGCTTAAGAAAGACTAAAGACACTAAAGTTATCATAGTCCGATAATGTGGGCAAAAATTAAGGGGGTTGCATAGAAAGTTTTCCGGTAGTATTGAAAATTGGCAATTTTGTAGATTTTGATGTAGGTACTGTTACAAAATTCATCTTGAAAAAATGGGGGCTAAAGCATCTATTTAAAAACCTGTGCATTTTATAAGCCGAACGTTTACTATAGATTAAATAATTGTGAAACTAAAAATTAATTTGGGGAACCTCAAACATTTTTTATACATGGTGGGGGATCATGGCACGCTATACCAATGTCAACTCTCTCATCAATTAAGTAGAGTCATTGTTGGCATGTACCGTATTCTTACCTTCCCCATAGCTACTGTGGTGGTAGCCATATCCACCACAAGTTTATCACCATCAGTCGCAGGTGCAGCCATCGCAATAGGATTTGTTCCCAGCGCTCTCTGAAACACAATAAACACAACACTAAGTGTAATAATATAATAGCGTAGTTACCTAAATTTTATTTTAATGTCCGTCTGGTACATTAATTTAAAACATTAGACACGTATTTTTTCTTTTCGCACAAAATTTAATACTTTAATTTGAAATATCGTGTGACGTCACAGCGTGTCACATTTTGTAGCACATTATGACGTAACAACCTCCCACTCCTAAACTTAGCGTTGGAATTTAATACGAGAAAATAAAAAAATACGTGTCTAATATTCTTTCATTATCTAACTAGATTTTTAATTTTGATACCCTGGAAACTACCCAATTAATGATGTGAAGCTAAAACCAGAATTTAAAGGTAGTGAATACGGTTCAAGCTCATATATTTACCTATAAGCAGTAAAATACTTTATGTTGTTTTCTTATCTAGTTCAGTGACCTAAAGCGAGTTTGAGCCTCCGATACGAAAAGGTCTGCTAGTCATATGCAGTTTTTTAACGATTATTATTAAAATAAACTAGGCCAAGCCAGACCAAGGCCATTATAAATCCTTATACCACACTATGATTTACTCCTGTGTCGTGGGTGCGTTTACAAACATACAAGTTCACATACACATGACACCCAGACCCGAAACAACAATTTGCGGATCACACAAAGTGTTGCTCCGTGCGGGAAACGAACCCGCGACACGTTGCACGGCAGCCGGTTGCCCAGCCACCGCACCAACCGTGCAGTCAGTCAACAGTTGAGAAGGTACTCCGAGCACCGACCTGATAATGCTCTACCAGAAAAGTTATATTCGTTGAGCTTACTTGTTTCGACCTGGTGGGAACCATGATTGGAGACGAGTTGGTGAAGGCCAGGCCTATGAGACCCTCGCGCTCCGCCTGCAGCGCCCAGTAGCCAGCCATACCGAAGTGGTTACTCCCTAGACATTTAGTTACTTATTAGTGTTAGTTATGCCAAGACTTAGTCCTTAGTTTCAAAAAAAGGACAGTATAGCTCATTTTGTGAACATCATTTTAATCGATTGTGACGTCTAGTGAGTCTAATTTAGTGGAGTTAGAAACTTACTATAAGCATCAGTACTGTATGGCTCAGAGATAATTAGAGTTCGGTGAGTCGACAAATAGTTTATTTCTAAAAGTTACAAAGTAGGTATAAGTTAGATGCAATTTGTCAACTACAGTTCATTGTTTAGTGATTATTACTAATTAAGGTCGCATCGGCAGCAACCAAATCGTTGTACGTGAACCGTACAAATACTTTAAAGAGTTAAATAAATATTCACTTGTCCAATAACATAATTTTATAAACGTATATTTTCTTAAGGACTCACTTCTAGCACAAACCCATCCAACGCCGCATTCTTTCGCCTTCTTGATGGCTAGGTCCATGCAGAAGTTGCCGACGGTGGCACCAAGTGCATTGTGACCGTCCACCCAAGCTGTGGCTCCAGATTCCTTCAGGATCTCCGGTTTAGCTGTAGGCACGCACGCCTTAGACTGGCAGTCATTAATGTAGAATTCTGTTAAAATAAAAAAAGAAAATAAATATGAATGAAACATTTATAAGCGCAGGCTTAGTTCAAAGATATTTTCTACTTTATCGTTTTATGATAAAATCTAAAATTGATTGAATAAATTCATCAGTTTAGGAATAACTTACTATGCTTACGTTTGTAGGTACAATCAATACGCCTTTATCGGTGACCTCAACAGGTAAGCCTCTATTGTCTTAGGAAAGAATTAAAAAACAAGGTCGAAAGTATTACCAGAAGCCTAGAGATAAAATAATATATTGCAGCACAGTTTTCAAACAAAGGATTTTGTGAATTTATCAATGTTTTATGGTTGCAAAGAATATTTATGTCATCTTTATACAATGATGAGTGTAAAGAAACAACTCTCCTGTTGCGATGTAAAGAGATTTGATTAACCTCGATAAAATCTACTAAACTAAGTCGAAACTAAAAAATGGTTGTTTAGGATTCTATTATTGTAAGCATTTGATATATTGGGAGAGCCATACTTCGGCACGAATGGGCCGGCTCGACCGGAGTGATACCACGGCCTCACAGAAAACCGACGTGAAGCAACGCTTGAGTTGTGTTTTGTCGTGTGAGGTTACCGGGGGCCCCATTTACCCTCCCCTTCCCCAATCTCCCCAATCCCTGAATCCCCAACGATCCTTAAACTCCTAATCCCCAAAAGGCCGGTAACGCGCTTGTAACGCCTCTGGTGTTCCAGGTGTCCAAGGGAAGGGCGACGCCGATTGCTTACCATCAGGTGATCCGTCTGCTCGTTTACAGGCTTATGCCATAAAAAAATACAATGACAGCACGGTTGTTGCAATGACTGGGCAACCGGCTGCCGCACAACGTGTCGCGGGTACGAACCCTGTACCTACGAAGCAACTCTTTGTGTGATTTATAAATTGTCGTTCCGGGTCTGGTGTCATGTGTATGTGAACTTGTAAGTTTGGATACGCACCCACGACACAGGAGAAAATCCTAGTGTGGAGCAACGTCTTTAAAATAAATGTTTTCATGAATTGGTTACAATACTTTTCATGAATTTTGGTATCAAAAGCACTTTAAATTTAACGTCCCCCAATAACTTACCGAGTCTATTCAACCCATGGCTGTAATGACCCACGGTGTCTGCATGCATCAGTAGGTCGGCGTGGGCCTTTGCCTCCGACTCCGGAGCTCCAACAGCCTTCAGACTGTCCTCCATGAACCGCCGTACCTCCTCTAACTTTACTTCAGGCATGACTGTAGATACTAAAATAAAATGGATTAATAAATTAAAACAAAAAAATTAAGCTGTAAGTAAGTAAAAAGAAATTTATATCAGAAGCAATTTCTTTAAAAAGTATTTGATCTTAATCATAACAATAATCTAATAAATTTGAAATATCATTCAGTAGGATCACTCGAACCAACAAATTGTTTTATTATGGCATAAGCCGGTAAACGAGCAGACAAATCTACCATCAGGTGAGCAATCGGTTTCGCTCATGGAAACCTAGAACACCAAGGCATTACCGACGTTTTGGGAATTGGGAATTGGGGAGGAGGGTAGTTGGACCTTCGGTAACCTCACTCACACGACGAAACACAACGCAAGCGTTGTTTCACGTCAGTTTTGCTGTGAGACCGAGGTATCATTCCGATCGACCCGGCGCATTCGTGGCGAAGCATGGTTTTCCCACACTTAACACTTTGTTACAGAACAAAGTCAAACCGTTTATTTCAATTAAACCATAATTTGCTAAGTACCTACTTTTCAAACGTCAAATAAATGTATAATAAATAATAGTCTGTCAGTCTGTCCGTCAGTGAAGCTAGGTGCTTGTTCCAAAATGTAGATTCGAATGGAGAAGAACGAGCAAGAAACTTAATTCGTTATTTAATAAAAAAAGTTTTAAATATGTATGTTTACATGTACCTGCTTATACTAATATTCCACACAATTATATCAAATTGAGCACAAGTTAAGAACAAAGTTATTAATCCAAATACTTATGAACAACCTCAACCAAGACTTTTAAAGAAAGTCGTACTTAGTTCTGGGGGGAGACCTAACGTACTAAGTGTTAGGAGGGGAAATTAACTACAGGATGGTTGCAACTCGAGCGATAATAAGTATCACTGTTATCAAGTGTGTAAGGATCACAATTATGTGTCATAAAACGTGGGACGTCATGTTAAGAGTCATAAAGGATACTCCTAAATGATTTCAGCAAAAACTCGAACCGGATTACACCTACCAGAAACTTAAAGTGTCCATTAAAACTAGAATCTTGTACCACTGCCAAAAGTTCTAATAACTTTGAACGTTATTTAGTTTAGACATTAAACAAATGCCGCGGCATCGATTTGCAAAAAAAAAACAATCTTATAATGAATAATACTGCTATTAATTATCTAAAATTCTTAACTTATGCTGTAGATAAGACCCAATGCCTGCCTCGTTGGCCGAGTGGTCGCAAGTGCGACTGCCGGGCAAGGGGTCTCGGGTTCGATTCCCAGGTCGGGCAAAGTATTACTGGGTTTTTAAAAAATTCTCATTAGTAGCACGGAGTCTGGAAATGTGCCCAGTACCTATATGGCAATAGGCTCACCCCCTATTACATGGGACTCATAACATAAATAGTGAAAAGTGGGTGTTATATTGTACAGTGGCATAATGTGCACCTCTGCCTACCCCTTCGGGGATAAAAGGCGTGATGGTATGTTATGTTATAACATAACATCACGCCAAGGGTATCAATAATCAAGAATATTACATATAATATCCTTTATGGTTGATATGATATCATATATGGGTTCACCAAAAACTTGAAACGAGTGACACCAACCAGAAACTTCAAGTGTCCATTAAAACTAGAATCATGTACCACTGCCAAAAATGCTAATAACTTTGAACGTTATTTAGTTTAGACATTAAACAAATGAAGCGGCATCGATTTGCAAAAAAAAACAATCTTATCATGAATAATACTGCTTTAAATTACCTAAAATTCTTAACTTATTCTGTAGAAAAGAGCCAATCAATGCGCTTCAAACACTTCGAATTTACTTTTATTAAAACACCATGTACACACAGAAATATGATCCACACTGATCAGCTTTCAGCTAACCACGTAACTGTAATAAGACACGAGGAAACTGAACTATCATTAGAAAATCCCCTCATTTATATGCACCAAGAAAATAGGGTAAAAAATATATGAGATTTCTTCACTCAACCAACAAAATTGTAAAGAGAGACTAAAAAAGAGATAATTGGAAAATAGATGGTTTTTTTCTTGAAACTATTTGATGTTGACCTTCGTGACGTGATAATAGTAAGAGGAGGAAATCAATTACCTAATCTTGGTAAAAGATTCTATTAACAGTATGAATATGCCACTTGTAGTTAGTTCATCATTAACATTAGGTAGGTACTTATATCAGCCACGAGACGACAACTTAGAACAAAACACTCAGTCGATTCCTGTTTGACACAAAATGGACTATTAAAACACTAATAAACTACTTATAGTGTACAATATTTCACGACTTACAAGATAAAATGTAATTGTAATTTACACGACACGACTTGTGTAAGATAATACTTATTAAACTGTACTGTAGCAGTTAAACAGAATAGTTGACATTTCATTTGACTATCTGTTAGTAAACAGTGATAAATCACTGACTATTGTCATGTAATGTAATGCTGGAAATTGTACACACAAACTGACGAAGTGACAAACATACAATTTATAGTTATGTGAGTTTGTAAATTCAGTTTTTCGAATTTTGAATCCCCGATCGAGTACATCGTTACACTCACTTTTTACCGACTTCAAAAAAATGAGGGGTACTATTTTCGAATGTTTGTTTTTTGACCAGTTGTACCCCATAAATAGGGTTAAGGTTAATAGGACCTGCTTAGCCTAGTGCCGTAAACTAGGTACCAACAAATCCAGACTCCGTGCTAGTACTAAGAAATTTTTGAAATCGAATCTGAACCAACCCCGATTTCAAACACGAAACCCTTTTATTAAATCCACGAATCATTATTACATTCTTTCCACGAATTATTTTTAATGGAATAGGAGACAAAGGATAATTTTTCAATCTTACATATTATTTCTTACTAGCTGAGCCCGCGACTTCGTCCGCGTGGAATAGTGATTCGCAGCTCATACACCGTAGTTGATGACATGATAATATGTAGCCTATATATTGACCCGATCTGTTAGTAATATTCATGCGAAATTTGAAGAAAATCCATGCAGCACTTTTTGAGCTCATCCCGGACATACAAACAGACAAACAGACAAAAATTCTAAAAACCATATTCTTAGTTTCGGTATCCACTGTAGATCACGCCCAAAGCATTATTTAAAAAAATATTCGATGTACAGTTTTCACTTTCCTACGATTTTATTATATGTATATAGAAGATGTTTAGATTGTAATTTTTCGCTTCAGTTACACACTGTATCTTTTGTCTTATTTAAACCTGTCTCAGGTCTACTGGAACAAATTCCAACAGGAATAAGTACCACCTATGTACCTACTCTAATTTTATATATGTATTATCGTCTGTGCTGTTTGTGTACATCAATTATTAAATACAATAAATAAATCAGGTAATCTTATCACACCAATGCAGTATCGTGATTCGTGATACAAATAACATTAAACGTAATAATAACCGCCGCACTCAGAATCGTAACTAAGGAATAGTTTAAGTCATCATTAAAGTCTCAGAGTACGGCAGTTAGATATAGGATAAAGACCATTTAATAATCGTACACCCTATTCTCCTATTTATTTTAATCATGCACCCGTTCCTTCCCGTACACTTGTCACAAACGATAAATGTATTTTTTAAGGGGGAAGTGATTCGATGAATTCATCGAATCACTTCTCCCGGACTCATAACATAAATAGTGAAAAGTGGGTGTTACATGGTATAGTGGCATAATGTGCACCTATGCCTACCCCATTCGGGGATAAAAAGGCGTGATATTATGTTATATTATGTAAAAATATACGTGTCGTAAGTAGTAAACAAGTAGTCGTATTTTGTAGATGATGAAATAAATAACCACTAGAAGTTAACTTCTGCTTACGCCTTTGAAAATAGAGGGTGTGATCTCAAGTTATTTTAATCTTGACTGCTATTAAATATAGTTTTTCTTACCACTGGCATAGATAACAGATGGCATTATCTTTATTTAAGTACACCTATTACGTCACAATCTCTATCAGCTCAAATTATCTCCATGTTTGGAGTCGTCTTAACAACAAAAACATGGAATATTTTTATATTTTATCATGAAAATAAAATTGTAGATCATCATCAAACATCAACAGTATATAAGTGCCCACTGCTGACCAAAGCCCTCTTCTTACACGGAGAAGGTTTGACCATAACTCACCACGCTTGCTCAATGCGGGTTGGCGATTTCAAACTTATAATTAGAAATTATAAGCCTAAGTATGTTTCCTCACGATGTTTTCCTTCACCGTTCGTCAGTGATGTCTAGATGATCTTAGAAAGTACATATAACTCGGACAAAGTCACATTTGTACTTGCCTTTGGTAGGTTTCAAACCCGCACACTCATGCATGAGAAGCGGGCGTCTTAAACCTCCTGACCACTATGCTTTCACTGGTTATTGTAGATACCTATATACGTATTACTATATAATAATACCTATTTTAAAAACGAAAGTATGTTTGATTGTCTTCCTTCCACAATGCAATGGAGCATTGAAAAATTTTAATCGAAGTTTTTTGTGTCTGAGCAGTGTCAATTTACTTAGGCTACTCGTGTTCCTTCAGACATGTGATCCTACTATGCTCTATGTACTGTACACAAAATGTACCACAAAATGAGTTAAACTACAGAAAAAAATGGCTTTATAACAGACTACCTTCGTACGCGCAATCCCGTTTTCTCCCGTTCCCATAAGATTTTCAGAATTTTTTTTCGATCATAAGAACCTACTCCTGACAATAACAAACACAACAACAAAAGAACAGCCAAATCGGTCCAGCCATTCTCAAGTTATGGCGTGACAACGGGAAACGGGTGTCATTTTTATATAGGTACTAGAGGACCCAACAGACGTTGTCCTGCATATCCACTTGAATGTATAAACAAAAATTCATTCAAATTAGTTCAGCTATTTAGGATAAATAACCTAAACAGCAATCTGCCGGGGCTGCTTTGTGAATCTAAACCATTCCCAGATCCCCTTGAAC